TTTTATAACAATTTCCCATACATATGCAGGTGTACACAGACTAATCTTTGATTTAAAATGAGCGCAAGATATCCCGTGGCGATTGCATATCACTTTACACGTTGTGTATCGTGTGTATAGCGAGAAAATTGAGCTTGTACAGCCTTCGTAACACACAAGAGAATCCCTTACAATAATAACATATTGTTTAGAGGAAGGCAACATCTGCTGACTGCTTCTTAACTCATACAGGACAAAAGAAGGCGAAGAAAACATGACCAGCTCTAAAGCAATAGCTCTGTAAGCCAGTGCCTTTCTAAATTATGCACTCCTTATGACTTTTGAAAAAGGCTGTGTGGTTTCACACACTATATTTAGCGAAGACCAATAATTGCAGTTGAAATAGTGAGATGGTTTTCTTCATGTTTTTGTGATAGAACACAAGCACGATGTTCCTCCTTGGGCTTCTTATAAATTACAAGCCATTAGTATTTATAGACTCGACTCTGTCTCTTTTTACAAGGAGGAAACCTCTGAGAACCACAGCCCAGTGAAACACAGCTTCTTTAGACACAGCAGGACCATAATTGTTACACTGATCTTGCTAGTTATTAAAGGAGTAAGGAGTTGGTTGTTGTAATGTTCTTTACTGGAGTGGACTGAAAAAAGCTGTAAGATGAAGAACCTTGATCTTTATAACACTAATATCCTGATAGCATGACTGGTAGAACGAATGGCTTTTTCAGAATGGTTTCTACTGTATAAAGTTTTTTTTTCATGAACAGCAGTTTCACAGTTGTCGGGGTTTTTTGCAGTGAAAAGCAAAGGGTTTATAATACAAAAAAACATTAGTTCTGTACTAATAATTGCACCAAAACACAAGAGCTAACTGTACTTTCTCTGGGTTTTTCTGCAAGTGGATTTTAAACTTTCGCTTTGCATTTTAATTTTTAGAAGGTTTATTGTTTTCCTAAGCTTTTGCATTAGCAAGAAAACAACAGTTTCTACTTAATTTTGCAATTGGACGTCTATAACCTTAAAATATCATCTAATATACTGAACCAAAACCATTTCCCCTCCTTTTTAAAGAAAAGTAAGAATAAATGGTGCATTTGATATAAAGCTGATCACAAGTTGATTGCTTATTTGTATCCCCATTTGTTTTTGAATATTTTATTATGAAACCCATTCAGTTGTGCAACTGAAGTGGGAGGTCTTGCCAAATCGGAGCTCGGGGTAGAAGGAAGCTTGCTGCACCTTAGATAAATTCTGTAGTTATTCTTGATTGTTGTTGTGGTTTTCATGTCCAAGAGCATTGCTAAAAACATTTCGGGTCAGTCTGAGGTAAAACTGTAGCAGGCCAGTTCTCCATTTTGTACCGAAAAGTGCTAGTTTCCTGAGCATCTGTGTGTTCATGGGAAGTTGGTAGTTACGATCTAGCAGTCTTGGTGCCCCATGTTTCCCCTCCTTAACTGTTAAAAACATAAAAAAAATTACACTATACGGAGAAATATTAAACTGAAGCTTTAAAAAAGCAAGAAAATTATCTTCATACCACCGTGTCACTGATAGTATTTGGCATTTATAAAAATGTATAGCAAGTTTTTCATAGTACAATTTTTATGTGAACATCATCCTAACTTATAAATTGCTGTTGCTTTCAAAAAGTCCAATTACTTCAACAACATAGCTTAATTGTCTCTTATTAGCATATTCTTGCAAAGCTTTCTTCTTTGATGTACAGTTCTAGGAATTCTAAAAATGCCATTTTTGTCTCTGCCGCACATTCACATTGATATCTTACCTTTATGTAGAACAAGAATCATAAGAGCTCAATTTCTTTCCAGGACAAAAGAAAGCACAGTCAGTTTAAATATGCTCTTATTTACGTTAATTGAAATCTGTACATCACTTAAAATTTGTATGTCTTCTCTTGTCATTACTTGTGTACTTCTTTCTGTATTCTTCATTATTTTGGGATGTGCTTTGTTTAAATTAAGGATATGAATGGATTCACTTCCTTGCAAATTGTTGATTCACCCTGAAAGCCTTTGATATGATGCTGCTTTTCAGAAACACAGCATCTCTAAACCTAAAACAATTGAAATATCCAGCAATGAAATGTAATGTCCAATTACATAAGATTATATCATGCTCTAAACATGGTAAAAAATCATCCTTTTTATAATTTAAGGTTGAATGACAGAACATCAACGAGTTCTTAAGATATTTTAAAATGTCATGAATTGGAAAGTGTGCTAGAAAATTGAGATGGTTAACACTGCATTGTTAAATTAAGGTTTTGGGTTTTTACATCTTTCTTCCAGGATCTTTATCGCAGCAGGTCCCCTGTGTTGGGGCCTCACTGCTTCTCCACCTTCAGAGTCGGGAATGAACCGTCCCTGTTGCCACAGAAACCACAGGAAACTCTGACCCTCTCATAAAACATAACAGAAGTGTGCAGAGAGTTGGGCAAGACTAAGGAAAATAGGCAGCAGCAATATGAGAAATCAATCCAAAGTAATTTGTAATACCATCTGTAATTTCTTATGGTTACTTATTATGAACAAGTGGTTAGGACCTTACACTGTTTCAACATTTACAAAGTGACCCCTAATTTGAAATGAAGTATCTCATGACTGCACATCAGAAAAAGTTGAGAATGTTTCTCTTTTATTAACATACTGTAGTTCAGTGTTGTTCAATAACATAATGCATTTTAAATGTGTAATAAACAAAAAAAACTCAATAGAACAGTTAACAAGTTAAAAATTCTTTAACTTATTGTAAATCATTACAGACTACAGATAATCTCCATACATACTGTACAACCTACAGGAAGTCTTCACCAATTCACTTTACAGTTAAATTTACTTACATATGGGCAAACCACTCTATAAACAAGCATTAGAGCCCAATGCAATACAAATTACATTGACTCAATGGATGAGGTGGATCTTCTTGAGATCAATAGAACTGTTTCTTACTAATGTGATTCACACATTTTGGTTCTGATGGAAAATTAAGTGTGTCATTTAGTAAAGCTGTTATTGTAATAGAAGACTCTAGTGGAAGTTTTGAGTGCCTTACTACATAATATGTAAAAGGGTTTGTGCGTAATGTACATGTCGCATTGTAGTACAATCTAATTAATGGATTGTAGCTATCCTGATTAACTATGCTATCAGGTACCTCATTATACCACCATAAACCTATAACGCATTCCAATCCTGGTACTGTACCTTTTGATTTTCATTTTACTCTATCAATCACATAATTGAACCCTTGACACACATAATAAGGGGCTGAATTTAAACTTGGCTTTCATTACCTAAAATGTAAGAGGTTGCCTTTTTACTTTTCATTCTTAAAGTAACTTGTCAGTCTTTTAAGTAAATTGCCAGCCCCCTTTGAATGGGGAAAAAAACTTCAAATGCTTCTCATATCACAAAAGTTGTATGCTTAAGGCATGCCTTTAAAAAAGTGATAGCACATAAATTAAAAGGTGTGATGGAAAAAGAGAAATACTTAAGTCATACTTTGGTGACTTTGTAAAAGGGTTTCAGGTATTTTTAAGTTATTTTGAGAGTATTATCATAAATCAGTTTTGTAGTCACCAACTATACATTTGCTCAGCATGTATTAATCAGCATACCAGACAAAAGTTTACTGTATGTGTAACATTCAGAGCTACTGTATGTGGAAAAAGTGTGCCTATAATGCAGCTCCTCCATCACACCGTCACATAAAATGTCTGTTCTATATTAGTGTATTAATACAGAAAATCAGGAAGCAAAAAGGACAGACAGAAGGTCACAAAAGAGAGGGGTCATTCCCCTCATCTCCTTTGGTTTGGACTAATCTTGAGTTGTTCAGAGCTCATCCAACTGTTTCCTAAAACCAGGGTATAGGTCTCAACAAAATTGTCAGGATTGCTGAATTGCAATTGCCTGGATTGCTTTAAAAAATGTCCCTCAGTTCAGTTTTAATCCACATTCGCTTTTCCTCTGGTTCATGTTTCACTCTTGATTCTGTAGAAGTCTATTGAAATGACTGTCAATGCTCTTGCTTTGCCTTTGAATTTGGTCTTGTGATCATGATTATGGAAATGTTGCGCACTGCTTATTAAAAAAATATACATTTCAAATTTAAGTGCCTGTTTTTTATATATACAGTACATGATCTATAAGTAGTCAAATGTATAAAAGCTCAGGTCTTAAACAGTATAAAAGCAAAGGGTTATGGATATTTGTATTTTATGAATGTTGAAGTATATTATGGTATACAGGTGTGATTTTTTTATTTCTCACACCAGAATGAAATGGCAGTAGCCTGTAAACCCAGCCAATCGGAACCATTTTTACAAGCTATGATTACCCACTGTTCTACTGCTACTATTCTACTCTATTATTACCAATCTGAAGATAAACTAAAATATAAAAATGCAAGTAATCTAAGGTTATTCTAGATATTTGAAATGTATGAAAATTCAGCATGAACGCTACTTTGTGGTTAGTTGCTTTCAATATATACTGTAGTTCAGCTAACTGATTTAATTTGATAAAATGTTTACATTTGATAGGGAGCACTGTGCCAAATTTAAAAAATGCTATCCTGTTGAGATATACAGTTGTTCACGAGTTAACGAAGGCAATTTAATTGTTCTTAATAAATAGTTGTAGTATTGCAGAATGTGCCATAGGTTACTGTGTTCAATAGATTCCCTGGATAGTTTAAGATAAACAGTAAACATTTTTTTTCCCCCACATTGCTGAATTGTGATGAGTGTGGTATTATTTCAAGCACACAAAACAAAATGAGATCTGCCCGTAAGGTGTTCACTGTATGATATGCTGTATATACATGTTTGCTGCCCAGTCCATGCCTTAAAGCCTTTAAAATAAGTCAATCTATTATAAAATATTATCTATTAGGAAATAGATAATTACTATCTATTTCATGGATAATTAGCAATATTCCAAAGTTTGTGTGGTTGTACAAATGACAGAGAACAATCCAAATTTCCTTTTTAAAATTTACAAATTTATTGACATTTAATTGCAAAAGCCAAGGGAAAAAAGCTGATATGGACCATCAGTGGATTTAGCCTCCATGAGGAGATGTCTCCAAAAACCAGTATATCCAGTAAACAGGAGGACTTTATTCCAATATACACATCAGAGGCATGAATTAGTTTTTTTATGAATTTAACTGTACAGAAATGTTTTTAATAACTAAGAAATACTTCTGATATCTCAAATATACAGAAAAGCTAACAGACATACACAATAGTGGTAAACATTAAAGCAAATCTTATTTACAGATGTACAAAAAAAACAAACACGAAAATAGCTCTACATTGCAAATGTTTGTGCTTCTAGAATTACACATAGAGAAATTTTGTACTTTTCTTCTCAATATCTCTCAACTGACTTTTGAAATGAACAGAACCACTAAAACATGGAGACAAAATTGTCAGGTCATTTGACATTTGCATTTGTTTCAGGCAAATGAACCTAAAATAGTTTTAACCGAAATGGAAATGCTCAGAAAGATTGTGTATTTGCTTCAGTCTTTTCAATCCTACATGTTTCGGTTAGACGTAAACTTAAAATGGATCTTCCTGTATAAAAGATTCCAGAATCATTTTAACTAATAGAACAAAATTAATTACAACTATATCAAGCAAACAAACGTACAAATTACAACAGGAAAAGAAGGAACAAGAACTAAAATATAGCATCAAACTATGCCCAATGAGTAGTCCAATATACTCCAGATTTGAGCTTTACTAATTCTTTTTTACTTCTGTGGACAGTTCAGACTAAAATACACCAAAGAACTATATATATATATAAAAAGACAAATTTCAGTACCAGTTTCCTTATTATTTTATACTTACAGATTAAAAAAGCCCTATACTGTTTATTACCTTTTTTTGGACGAGTTCCAGTTTCTAAAAGGCACAAGCATTAGTTTTCCCATAATCATTTTTTAAAACTTCTTGCTAAATGAATGTATTCAGTGTCTTCATTTTCTTGATCAAGCCAAGAGCCAAAGAAAATTACAGAAATATCTTAATGACAGCATTTTTTTAACATAATGTGTTTTGAAAAAAAAGAAACCCCAACCCCTCCAAAAAGCCAAAAGGTGCTGGAATTGGGGAAAAATACTACTGGTCTGGATTTAGGGAACTACAGACAGTATCTGCTTGTTCAAGAAGAACAAGACTCACTTGTTAGCCTTCTTGACTAGCCCTGACCCCACATCAGTTTAATTTGTATATTCAGCATAACTAAAAAACCTACAAAGCAGCCTTACCTTTATCTTTAATTTCTGATAGATTAGCTGCCAAAAGGTAATCTACACCGATATTAGCACATCTATGAAGAAAAGTATTCCTGTAAACTTGCCACATCTGAAAGATGAATCTGAAACCATGCAAAGCGTATGATAGAAAATACCCTTTGTCACTAATCTTTCTGCCCCAGAGTAGTATAAAACGATTGGCGTAATGATGAAATCCAGACAGGACAACAAGTTTTTATTTTCCACGGTCATTTTATATATTGAATGCATTAGGCTTAATTAATGACTACTGTATGATAATATGCATCTGCTTTCAAGTTTCTTACAAGTACCGATATGCACTTCAAAAAGATGTAACTAAAAATGTGTAGAAACACTCATATTACTTGAAGATGCATATACAGCAACATCTTTCAGCACAAATTGAAAGTTTCTAAAATGCAGCAATGGTATAAAGGATTTTGATGTGTGCAAAACATCTACACAAAGCCATTTTGTAGGATTAAGGAAGTAAAAGCTTGTACTTGTTCAGGGCTGTGATGAGTAACACATAATGACAACACGTGGAAGTGAAACATCCTTGTAAGGAAACTGGAAACAAAGCACAAGGGACTTGCTGTGTATAACTCAATCCTGTCAGGATTCCAACAGGAGGAAAATGTTTGAGACCAGTGCCATTTACTGATCACTGACTCAACAGGGCTGTTTTACTTTAAATATGACAGTTTATAAGATTTATATTTAACACTTGGATTTTGCTATGCTACAGTGTTGAAAATTATAGTAAATATTTCTGTATCTTTAGTTATATCCAGTGGAATATCTTCACTTTAATGTCTTAAAAATAACAATCATTTTGATAGTTATGCTGACATCCTTACAGAATAAACCTGTGGTATAAGGTACACATAAAAAGAGATTTTGCAAAATGAAAATAATATAAAATATTAAAAACCAATACAGGTTTGATTTATGAATTGAGATTTGAATTTTAAAGATGTACAGTATAGTAGCGCACCTTTCAGAACAGGAAGTTTATGGTAAAAGTCAGTGTATCAGCATAAAGTAAATAAATATACCACTCAATGAAATAACTACAACCAAGATGTGCAAAGAGGGTTATAAGTGACTCTGCATTTTTATACTGTACCCTCCACCACAACAGCAAATTAACCTTGTAAAGAAATGAAATTGCTCATGTAATAAAATGTCTGTTAGATTTACTATTCAAAATGCCTGTTTGCTTGTATCTTCATAGACCAATTAATAGAAAACAGCTGCTTATGTTAACAATATTCTTATATCAACTACATACAATACGCATCCTCGCCCAAATTTCTCCTATATCGCAGGCTCCATGTTTGGTTTGAGACCCTACAATATAATTTTTTATGTTGGGGTGCTCATCATTGTTGATGAAAGATGCAAATCTGCTGCTCTGCAGTGCCATGTGATCATGATATGCAAGCTGGACACATCAGGCCGTTTGGATCACCACCATCCACACTGCCAGTGCCAGGGTGGAAACATCTGTCATACAGACAAAAGCACTTGTATGAGAGGCTTTCTATTCCTGAAATCCTTAGTTACAAGTTTCATTTCACTTTGACTCAGTGGTTCATTAATAAGATTTCTTTCCCAATCAGACACATCAGCCTGCCTTCTGGATCTCGCTTGTTACTACTTGTTAACCTAATAAGAACAAGCCAATGTAAGTTTCCTGAGTGTGGAGTATTCCAGTAGAAGACCCTTTCAGCCTCCCTGGTAGCTCAAGTAGGAACGGCACCCAGAGCACAGCTTCGAGCTCTACAGCTCAGATGTAGCCAGGTCCAGTCTGGGCATGTTGACAGTCGACTGGAATTCCCCACGTGCAGAGTGCGCCAGGATAGGCCAAGTGGTGGCTGCCCTGAGTTTCCTCAGATTTCAGTGAAACATCGACTCCTGGGACCTGACAAGTGCCGGAAGGTTTACGGTGATGACAGAGATGGACCACTCCTTCAGGCAGCTCCAGCTCTTCTGTCAGGCTTTGTGGAGCTCTTGGAGTGTGACAGGGCACAGTGTTCTGACAGCTGTCTGAACTGTGCCATTACCGAGCCACATGAACTAGAAATCGATGAAAATCCCAGTTTTGAACAACATTGCTTTTGAAAAAATGTGTTGTGCTTCCTATTTGACATATTTCATCATTTCATGAGAACACAGTACAACAAACTCATGTATTCAGCTTCAATGCATATTTGTCACTATCCTCAGATTACTGTCTAGCTAATTACTCCAAAGATCTTCATAATGTTCCAAATAAAACTCTGACCAACAGAGAAAGACATGGCCAATTTTGTTAAACAACATAGTTATTACATGTCATACAGCATTGGTGGATAGGCACACATCTGCAATTCACTTGAATACTGTTAGTTCTGAAATTAAATCTTCATTTTAGTCTAACGGACACTAAATCTACCTATTGGCTTAGAAGCAGTGGTTTAAATAAAGGTGCATCAGGCAATAATTTTATGCAACAATATAATTGTTTAAACTTTTTTCTAGCTTCATTTAAACATGGAAAGTTTAATAGAGAGCTTATCTGAACCATTATAAATATTTTAAGAAAAACGTTTGTGACTATCTTTGAGTGACACAGGAACAACAAAGAGACTGAATCGCATATATAAGCAAAGGCAACAGCCACATTCTGACAGCTAAAAGCACTACCTGCATTACACAGTTTATACCCCTTGCTGTCTCTTTAGAAGCTTCCTTCAGTTTCTCTTAGGCACATCTGAAATACTCTTCTGAAACGTTTAGTAGACCTTTAGCGCTCAGGCCAGCCAACAGAAGGATCAGACTCTCTGGTGTCTCTGCTCATCCTCAAAGACCACATCTTCTCCCACCAGGAGAGGCTGCGTGGAGGCGGTGCTGCTGCCAACGGAATTGAGCCGCCAGAAATGGGAGTGCAGCTCCTCTATGTTTGAAAACTTACTGGAGAAGTTTAAGTAAATCTGAAAAATAAACCAAATGGAAAACAAATAGTTTTACATTGTGTTCTCTACGAGACTAACTCTTCTGCCATTTGCCAGGGATTAAGGTTTACCAATTTTCTTACAACCATGTAAAGAATAATAATTTATAGTGAGAAAAAGGGATGATTATGTAATAATGAAGCAAGTCTGTAAACCTGTGACCCTATCGTACAAATTCCAGTAGGAGACAGACTGGTAAGTAGCAAGCTAAAAATGGTACTGGCCAGGTCTCCATTGGATTGTTGGTTACTCTCAGAAGTTAAATGCTATGTCTCCTTACTACCCAACAAACTTTAACTAAAGTGAAAAGCAAGCTCTGAAGAAATATGTAAAATTCCTAAGCTTCTTGATGGTTTATAAGGCTTATAATTGTTGGAAATGTCCTATGGAAATGTCTTGGAATAAACATAATAAGGACAGTTTGACATAAGGTCGAGATAATTCCAAATTATATGTTACCTCTGCTATTAAAGGTCAAATGTATTTTATCTGTGACATTTTATTACTAATAGCATATCTGAACAAATCCATAAGTACAGCAAACTACAATCAGTTGCTTAGATCTTTGCTGATTTCCTTCTCATTCAGATTAAGGGCAACACAAATACACTATCACTAAAAATGAGTAATACAGACAAATTAACTCACATGTTTAGTGCTGTCTGACAGCTGAAGTTCAATCATCTCAACAATCTTTGCAAATGATGGTCTTTGAAGAGGGTCTGTATCCCAGCAAGCCTTCATTATTTCATACCTGTAAGAAAGTGTTATATACAAAATAAAATTAAAAACTCCAAAAGAACATCAGAAAGACGTGGATGGCGCAATGAATGCACAAAGAAGAGGCCCGTCAAGTTCATTCAGTTTTTCCCAGCCCTGGTCCATATCTCTGGCTCTTCTCTTTGTGTTCCAAACAAACTCTTAATTAAAATTATTGAACCTTTAGCTTACCTAGATTTTAACAATTTTCTGCAATCAGCTCTAAGTTCCAGAAGTCATCTTTTCTGTGTATAATTATCAAGAAATGTAGTAAACAGAACTCCAGATATCAATGAATGATATGAAGAAACAGGTGATATTGACACTGTGCCAATCTCTAACTTTATAACTGTTTAAATGAGGGAACTGTTGAAACCCAGCTTCTGCCACAGGTTCATGCTATTACTAAAAACCTTAATTTCTCAATAACCTTAATCAAGAAAGATCTCAGTGGACACAGGCATTCTCCAGGTCTAGGTTAGGAAACACTGTTTTTCCACATGTAGTCCCATAACAGTACATGGAACAAACTACCCAAGTATAAAATCCCAGGGACCCCCAGAGCACTCAGTAAAACCCATATGAACATGAACATGGGGGGCATGTGGCCTCCACAAAGACAGGTACCTCAAGATGAAACTGAACCCCAGGTCTATGGGGCTGCAGCACAGACCACCAGAAACACTTGTCAAAATCCCACGCAGCCCCTGTGAGGCAACAGAGCTAACTAGCATGCCACAGTTCCAGCCAGACGAATCATTATCTACATGCTACCATCGGGTCATTTTCTTCACAAGCATGGAAATCCATGTAACCTCAAAACCTCAACCTCCTGCATTCTGCTGCTGCGCACCACAGACATGAAATGCTTTTTTGAAGAAGATAAAAGACATATAACTATCCTTATTCCTCTTATTATAGTCTTGGACTTAAATATTATTCATCGTAATATAATGTTTTATTACTTTTACAACATGTACAGTGTAATAATATTATATTTTTTACACAGCACTATTCCTTTGTTTTTACAAAACAGATGCTAATGCAATTGCACAGTACTTAAGGAAATTGTCATTATTTACTTCTCTCTCAGATTAATCATGATGTGTGCTTACAGGAATTTCTAGTGCATTATAAAACACCAGGTGAAGTTCCCTAAAATAAACTAAACAATGAATTGGATAGGATTTTAAAATGTGTAATAGAACTCACTCCAAACAATACAGATATTTTGATTAATTTTTGCAAGGTATTACTACAGGAATGTTTCAATCTCTCATTAATGTCAGACAAAAAACCAATAGACACTACTACTATTAACCAGACCTTTTCTTGATTGACACAGTTGCTTTGAATACAGGGAAATGTAAAGAACACCTAGCATTCAGATTAGATAGGCAGGTCCCTTTTCAGGCCATAAAGGCCCAGGGGAATGGGGGGCAAGGGCCAGCATTTTTCTTTGACCATCCAACACTGGAGATGGAGGAGATGTGGTCAGCATCACACACCAGCCAGCCTGTTACCCCCAGAAGGATTAACCACCAGTACTCATTTGGGAAGCAGGCTGAGTGGACCTAGGAGCCGTCTGGAAGGAATCAGAGCTACATCGCTTGCCCCTACCTGGGGATTGAACCCAGGACCTTCCGGTCATAAACTAGACACCCCTGCCATCTGAGCTACCACGGCTCCAGCATTTAGAATATTTATGTGAAAATATAAACGACGATATGACAAATATGCAAACTTGCAATATTCTGCAAGGATCCAATGAACCAAAGAACAAAAGTGAAAACTATTTTAAAATCAATTTACATCTGAGAACAGGAGGCAATTCTTTGAAATCCAGCCAAATTGAAACAGATTTTCAGCCATTTGTTGAGAGAAACCAGGGTGAGATCCTTGTATCACTTATCTCCTAAGACAGGGGTTCTTAACCTTTTCGAGAGTGCGACCATTTTTTTGGGGTTAAAAATATTTTTCAACCCCCCCTTCCACACACACACACAGATTTAAAAATTGTCAAGTTGTATCAATTGTAAGCCTACTCACTTAATAATGATAATAATAATTATTATTATTATTTATATAGCACCTTTCATATACTTTTTTGCACCTCAAAGTGCTAGTTACCAAAAAATTTAGTTAAGTAAACTTTAAGGAACTTATAATAAGCAACAATAACAAATTAAAAGAACCATCCACAAACAATACAAATAGCACTGAAATTATACAAGACAAATCATGTAAAAGCAAGAGTAAAAAGTACGTTTTGAGCTGCCGTTTAAAATATCCAAAGAGGCAGCCTCTCTAATATTTTTAGGAATACTATTCCACAGTTTGAGTGCGTAGTAGCTTAAGGCTGCCTCTCCAGTCATCCTATTCTTAATTTCTGGAATAATCTTTAAATGTTGTGCACTTGTTGCACTGGCCTTGATGGAATTTACAGTACAAACAGGTGCATCCATTACTTGTCTGAGTTCGGGGGGCACTTTCTCAGGTGTGAGGGCTTGTTTATGAATCATACGATGACTCCACAAAGCGAACGGAGCAATGGCCTGTACTTTCAAGACTGGCCCATTGTGTTTGCCAGTCATAGCTCGTGCACCGTCTGAGCAGATTCCCACACACCTGTCCCAGTCAATTTCATGCTCACGTACATATGTGTCCGGCCAAACGACAGGTTGAGCGCCAGTGACACACTTGGGAAGAGGACCACAGAACAAAAAATCCTCATTAATTTCTTCCTCCTCAACAAATCTGGCGTAAACGAGCATTTGTGCATCTCCGGAGACATCAGTGGTCTCGTCAAGTTCTAAAGAAAACTACACACTTCATTTTATCTTAGAGATCACCTGCTTTTCCATATCCCTTGCCATATGCCCAATGCAGTTAGACACAGTTTCATTTGACACTGGTATCAATGCCAGCTGCCATGAAGTGCTTTTCCCACGCATGATTGAAACCGTTTCCTTAGCGCACGGTAAGAAAAAAGTCACCTAACGTGTGTGACTTCCCAGTTTTGGCAATCCAGTTAGTTATGACAAAAGATGCCTGAAGTGCCTTCTGGTTCACAATGTTGGCTTTTTGGAGGGTAGATTGTTGGCCTCTTAGCTCCTGTAGCTTTTGTTAAAAAAAACTCATTTTCTTCATTTTTCATCATTTTTTTTCCTGTTCTGAGTTTTCTGCTGTGCGATTTTCCACATCGTCTTCAGCTCTCACTCTTCCAGTGCCACCTATTAAAAACACTTAATTGCTTGGCTAAGCACGACTACCTTGCACAAAAGAAACAAGTGCTACATATATCAATGCAATCATGGCCCACTCAATAGAAATTAATGTAGCGCCCTCGCCAGGTGCACTGCAGAGCAGGCTAAGTCCACTAAGTCACCCTGCTAACGTAAATAGTCTTAACCGTGCAGATGTATATAATAGTTAATTGTTTACCTCTTATCCATACAGAAGTGTGCTCACAGTCTCCAAGAAGGATACTCTGTGATGCCACTTTGGAATTCCGGTCAAAGTTGAATTGCCCATATTCAAACCACAGAGTTCCAGACTATGACTACTTTTACAGGCTCAAGTCCCTCATGAGTTCCTAAGCTACAAATAAACACTCCTCGGTTTTTTTATTCTTACATTTCATTGGGTGCAAATTCAGGTCCTATCATCCGGTAACCCTCCTTGATCATCTTGTAGAACTTGGAATCCACAGGCATTCCGGGGTAAGGGCTGCTACCTACAAAAGTTGAATGGTTTGAATGTAATTTTTTTTGAAAAGATGAAAAATTGAAGCTGTTCAATGAATTAGGCAAGACTCACCTAATGAGAATATTTCCCACAACAATATGCCATAAGACCAGACATCACTCTCAAAGGTATATACACATTCAAAAATGCTTTCTGGTGCCATCCACTTCACAGGAAGCCGAGCCTGAAGAAAAACAAACACCAGAATTATTCCAGATGGCAAAACTGTAATAGATACATGCAGATGTTGCTCCTGCCATCCATGATTGCAAATATGCAGTATATTCAGGAACAAAACAAAATAACTTTACAAAATGCACACTAAACTACAGTTATTGTGAAACACACTTAGATGTGATTAAAAAAAACTGCTCCACGTACAAAATAATATTAAAAAGATATTTTGGAAAAAAAAATAAAAATAAAAAGTAGATAAGCATGAATTTTAGTTTAAGCTTTACATCTCACACAAAATGGATGGGGTGACTGTTGTGGTATTGAGGTCTCTCTTTCTAAAAAGACTGTAAGATCCATATTAGGAAATGTCTGGCCTCAGGTGAAGGGTCCAGAATCCTAGCCACTGCTACTTCTCCTTCTCCATTGTAAAAACAGAATTAGACTTACGTTGCCCTTTACAACATAGTTGGAATCATTTTTTATGTCCCTGGCAAGACCAAAATCACAAATCTTAGCCACCCGCCCTTCTGTAAGCAGAACATTCCTTGCAGCCAGGTCTCTGTGAATGCACTGTGAATGCACAGAACAACATCCATATTGCAAAAGGTACAAGAGTAGGGTAATGTAAAATACAGACCATGTAAATATTATTTCATTATCAGAAATTAAACACTCAACAAATAAATTCAACCAAATATGGCAAACTTCTACAATAAAGCAAAAGAAAATGTAATAATTGTTTTATCTAAAGGAAGACTAAACTGTACAGGAAGGTAAGAATTATCTTGAGATATTTATGACCATAAAAGAATTTCACAATACAGTTCACTATTCATTTATAGTTTAGATTTAAAAAAAGCTTTATCACAAATGAAATGTAATCTTACATTTTTTGAAGCAAGGAAGTTCATTCCTTTTGCAACTTGATAAGAAAAGCTTAAGAGATCTTCTGTATCAAGTGACCTTGTATCTTCTTGTAAAACATCATTGCTGACATCTTTATCACCATATGACCCTAATCAATAGAGAAGCAAAAACAGAAAGATATTTTAGTGTTACAGTCTAGATCTAAAAAGCCTGTTTATTGCAATATACAACCCTATTTTATTAATTTAGGGATGTATTTAGTGGAAAACACAGCAGCAGCAGACAAAGCACTGTAAAATCACACTTGCACACCTTTTTCTGCCCTTGCAAAGGCCTCCTTTCATTTAAGTTCTATGACAGGTTATTGCTCAGCTTTACGTCTTGAAGCTTGAGCTGCTCACTGTATCTCCGATCTTAACCAATAAACCCCAGAAACAGTGCTTTCGTGAGACCGCTGACCTCTTGTCAGGAATTCTGACCTTTTTATAAACAAGACGCCTTAGGTGAATGAAATGTAATAATAATAATGTAATGTTTATTAGCCCTATACAATTTCTTGTATTAGGAATTCGTCTTTTTGCATACCCCAGCTTTTCTCCATGGAGACACAGACACACAGACAGGGAGAGAAGTTTGGGGGTCAGAGCACAGGGTCTGCCATTGTATGGCGCCCCTGGAGCAGTTAGGGTTAAGGGCCTTACTCAGGGGCCCAACGGAGTAGGGTTCCTTTGCTGGCCCCGGGATTTGAACCGGCAACCTTCCAGTCACAGGCGCAGATCCTTAGCCACAGAGCCACCGCTCTGCCCTAATGAGTCTGGAGTGCAGTACAGCTCACTGTAGCCTTTGCATTCTGACCTCTGAAAGAATATCTAATTGGTGTTAATTAAAACTAGGTAAAATCTGATACTTAAGGAAATTCATAAGCAGAAAGTATTCTTAAACAAGTTTTTTTTTTCGCTGCAAAAAGAAAAGTAAGTTTAATAGAATTAATTTGACGTTTAAAATGACTCTGTGTATTTACTCTAAATAGAACTAAGAAACTATAATGAAAATTGTACATTTTTAAGGATCTAAGACTAAAATGTACTGTAAATAGGAGGAGGTCTTTAAGCACTTCCAATGTATTTTAAGACTGATGACGTGCACTCACCTTTTCTCTTTAATCTCCTCTTCTCTGATGGGGCACTGTGTAAGCTGGGGACAGCTGTGGACGGTCTCATTGTCATATACCCATTTTTGCTTTCCTCACTATGGAGAAGTGAATAATAGAACAGACATCTGCTTTAGTTACATATAATTATTCAAAACATTGCATGTGAAGAAACATCTGTCTTTTTATCTCAGCAGCATCAATTACAGAGAACTGCTGCTGTCATCTGTACCCACTAATAAATACAAAAGCATACCAGAACATGCAATATTCATGGTACATTAAAGAAATCCAGAGCAGCAACATTAGACACAACAATTTTTAGGCATCATGCAAGAAAAGTAATACTTTATTCACAAGTCATGTGAACCTGCCCAGCATTAACACTAACAGCAAAACCTGTTGCCGATATTACACTGATCGTGTCAGTTTGCTTATTAAATCACACCACAAAACAGTAACATTAAAGAAAAAATCAGATATTAAGCAATTTTTAAACAATTTTCCAGAAAATATTCCTTACAATCACCAAATGTTTTTTTTTTATTGCACTTGGCTGCACAAAAATCTAAATAAAAAAATATGGCTTTGCTGACTTGTTTAAAGGTTATTCTTTCCCTATAGTACTCTCTGTACAACTTGTAACAGCTTTTAATGTTCTAAATACAGTTTAGTTTGGGTGAGAATAAGGCAAACTGGTCTTTTAGCATGAATAACATACATTGATCTTCAAAGAAACTTCAAAGTCTTGGTCACAACAACTCAGGGTAAAGTAGGCATAAGCAACCAGTTTGAGCTGTAACAGCTAATCCATCACAGCCCCCAATCAAATCTAATTGACTCATTGCCAGGTGGTCCTTGTAATCAACATATATTCCTTTCTACACATCCATAAGGCTAAAATACTATTTTTTGTAGGATGAAACACAGATCTAACAGGATTAACTTTTATCTTTAAATATACTTCTGATTATTAGATTAATCAATTCTGATCACCACAGAATGTTTTCTGCATAAATACAGAAAGACAATGAGAGAAAAGAGTAGAAAGATGTATAACCTAAAGATTTTTTTTCATAGCAGTATAATAATGTGAAATATTGTATATGTTGTCTATTTTAAGTATATTCCTAGTGGAAAAAATACAACCTATGTCAGTTATGTGCAAGACAAAAACATTCTAAACTTTGAACTCATGGCCCAGAAGCAACAGGAAAGTTGTAAAACAAAAGAAAGATGTTTTCAGATAAAGGTGACCCTTACTTTTCAGTTCCTCTTTTGTTCTGAATATTCTTATAATGTGAGTCATCTCCCAGTCTGGAGCAAAAGAACATGTCTCTTTTCCTTCTGAGAAAGTTCAGGAGGTCACCAAAACAGCAATACTCCGTTATGACCAACGTCGGACCTGAGAGTAGAAACACCAGAGTTTTGTATTGGTGTGAGCATTGCTTGTATGGATTACTGCATGTTTTAAATTATACCATTAAAATGCAGTCTGACAAACAAAATATATTTTAAAAGTGTTCAATTTACATGACTAGAGATTGTTTATTGTAAACCCACTTAAAGCCTGTTTAAAGAATTTATGTATATGTAACAAATGCACAAGTTGCTGAAAGTTATAAAGAGAGTTTCACATTGGTACAAACTAAAACAATCCACAGTTTCTGTCAGCATGTGGTAGATGAAGAAGAATGGAAAGCTTCTTGTACTGTCTCTATTTTGCACACATCATCCTTCACTTTGAATATTCCACTTTTCCTTCTGCAAACTCTACAATGCTGTACAATTTTTTAAACTTTTGTCTCACAAGTCCCTTGTTTTGCTTTTTATTTTGTGCTTTGCATCCTTAACCCTAGCTTAATGACTCCATTTTCCCTTTAGGTTTCATGTTTAAGCACACTTCATGTCTGTTTCATGTGTTTTTGCATTTGTTCTGTTTTGAATGCAAAAAGTTCAATTGCACTTGAAACTGTTAACAAGTTTGCAGTTTCAAGCGTGTATCTTCAGTTACAAAAACACTGTATTGTATAATAAGTGATATCTGCTCCAGATATCTGCTATCTGCTCCAGATAATTGTATAGGAATATCTTGTTATCCATCTTCTTGTTGGCAAACTTACAATACAAAGGCCAATATATTGCCATATATATTACATATATATATATATGTAGTTCAGGTGGGTAGCTGTGTCAGCATGTGTAGGCTGCAAAGGAACAAGTAATAGGTTTATTCCACGCTGAAAAGAGAAGAAAGAAAACATAACGTTTCGTTCGTGGAGCCAACCTGAAGAAGGCTCCACGGCCAAAACGCTGTGTTTTCTTTCTTCTCTTTTCAGGTATTTCAGGAATAAACCTATTACTTGTTCCTTTGCACATATATGTATACATATTACATATTACATATATATTGTACGCAATATATTGCTTACAATACAAAGGCCAATATATTGTTATAGAAGCTACAGTATGTTATTTAAATGTTTAAGTGCTGACTGTAAGCTGAGATTTACATTGTGCCCAATTCGTCCTCCCACAGCATCCTCATTGAAACATGTCACTATCCAGTAAAACCTTGTAACCTGGCTATTCGGTTGCTGTTAGCCTTGCTTTATGTAAACTTCAGGCGCTTCTGAACAGAGCACCATACTAATCTGTTTGAACTTCATTCATCTTCTTAAGTAAATAAGAAAGGTTACAAAAAAAGCTAAGTCTACTTGGCTCTGTGAAATAGCTGGAAGGGTAACTAAATGTGTACAAGTAAAAAAATGTAAGTAGCATTCATACATTTATATACATAATATATCTGAATAAGAGATTAATTTTTAAAAACTCCAAGATATAGACAAGCTACTTAAGGAAACAGGTTTAACAATGTTACCTCCCACTGTGCAAGCTCCTAACAGGTTGACAATATTCATGTGATGCCCTAGGTAGCTCAAGACCTTGAGTTCAGACATCAGTGCCTCTTTCTCAGTAGCATGAGCTCTTGCTGTAAAAAAAAAGTTTAAAGTTGTAAAATGTAAGTTGTATTAAGAAGACTGAACAAAAAAAAATTCAAAAAAGTTCCATGAACTAATTTAAAGAAATTATTTAACTTACGTTTCAGCATTTTGACAGCTACAGTCATTATTGTGTCTGCTTTTGACATTCCATATGCTGTGGCCTCCACCACTTTTCCAAATGCTCCAGAGCCCAGTGTTTTACCTAGAAGTTAATTTGGGTAATTATAGGAATTTTATGTCTTCATAGGTCTTACTACATGGGTCTTACTTTTATCAAAATCTACAGGACAGTTCCTCTTGATCTGCTACTTTGACAAACCAGTTCTAACTCAACTTTAATACAAAATGCACTCTGGGCACTTAGTATAAACAGTACGAGCAATTTCTATAAAAACAAGGTATAATGATTTATAGCAGTTTTACATAATGCTTTGGAAACAGTATTTTATGTGTCTCAAGCTGATGAAGCTCCTTGCATAATGATACCAATGTAACCTTGATGTCAAAGCACACATATAAATAAGCTAGAAAGCTATCAGTGATCATCATTATTTACTTGCCCCATATAGAAATCATGATGAATTTTTGACATTGACGCTGACAGTAAAGGAACCACAACAATGATTCAAGTAGAGTAATAATTCACTACACTGAAAAAAAAACAATTAACCCTTCTAGTCTAGTCTTCGTATAGCAGAAGAAAGTTTCCCAGTCCAAATAATTTTCTACGTTCTTTTCACTTTTCAGTTTGGATCTAACCTCTATATTTACAGCTCACATGCTGGCACAGCTGCCCCCTCAGAAGTAACATTTTTATTACAGCCCAATGCCAAAAATATTTTTGGACCTTTTTAGAGTTTCCAGAAATTTGGTAGCAGATACATTTTGTTACTAGTTAACATTCCCGAGATATTCTATAAGATTAATAATGGAATTACTGAACTAGGGGGCACACTCTATATTTATTTTCTTAAATATAAATTTATTATTATTTAGCAGATTAAAAGCTTTTGAAAACTCACCAAATCTGAGTTTATCTCGGGGGAACTCCCATTTTTGATCATATGGTAGCTGTGATGGATCAATATATACATAATTGTTGCCATTTATTCCTTCAATAACCTTCCATTGAATCTGATATTTTGGCTTCTGCAACGAAAGAGAGGAGATTTCTTTCTTCCATGAACACTACTAAGTATCTGAGCAAAAACATGAGCAGCAGAGCGATCAGACTGTGGTGATGTACCTGCAAGTACTTGTAGAACAGAATGAAGAGAATGAAGCAGAGCCCTCCAGCTGCGGCAGCAAACCCAGTCAGTAGCGGAGTAAAGAGTTCATGCTGCACGATCCTCTCTGAATCAGAAGTCAGAAACAAAACAAACAAACAAACAAACAAACATACACTGTCATGTTGTGGTGATTTTTCTTCTATATAATTCTGACACAAGCCATGGTTGAAATCTTTAATGTCAAAGATTT